TATTTTTTGTGATAATCGTGGTGCTTTAGCCACAGCGAAAAATCCTGTCAATAATGACCAAACAAAACATATTGACATAAGGGTTCATTTTATAAGAGAAAAGGTTGAATCAAAGGAATTGTCAGTACATTACATCCCTGGATATCAATTAGTTGCTGATGGTTGCACAAAAGGTTTAAATGTACGGAAACATACTGATTTTATTAGTGCACTTGGATTGTGCAAAGAATGATGTTTCCAAACAGTGTTCTGAATAAGTATTTAAAATACAAAACTCCCAAATTGTTTAAGGGGGAGTGTTATGTTGGCAACTCTCAGATACTGAAATATAATGTTAGAGTTGGCAACATCATAGTAAACAATTTAAGAACTAGGTTATGTCTTGTTACCTAAGTGATGTTTACTGTTATGTGTAACTACAGTTACGTGTGTAACAACAGTATATTTATATTGTTAAGTGTTACTATGGTTATAAGCCTGTATGTATATATAAGGCGTACTTCTGTATCAAATAGCTCAGTCTTAATAAAGCAGGAGTAGAGTGAACACTGATTCTCACTTATCATTCGATCCACGTGAAGTAACAAAAATAACAATATTTACTTCAGCACCCTGTTCTCAAACATCCTCAATCTGTGTGACATACCTGAAATGTGTGACTTTATTCTGGGGACGCTGATCATGGTCATGGATGGCATCCTCCTCACCAGTAAAGAGTGAGAGTTTTGGATCAGTCAGTGCCACAAACTCCTCCACTGACTCATCGGGATGTCCCTGGTACAGTCTCAAATCAGGGTCATCCAGGATTTGTCGACAGAGTGCACATTTGGATCGCATTCCTCTGAATGTTCGAGAAAAAGCTTCTTTCTTTCTGTAATATGCACAATCATATGCCAAGGACACTACATTCAAACACTATAACACATGCATAGCAGAAATAGGAACACTAATCAGAAATAGAAAATTACACTATATACAATAATATGTTTAAGGAGAGTGGACTGTATAAGTTTCATTAATGTTGTTTTTTAAAAACAGCCTTGGCAAGAAATGGATAGGTATTAATTAATTATATTTACTAATGCTCTATGAACTGCTGGGGTTGCATGTTTACTTGTGTTACAAGCACAGACCAGGCATCAATCACTCAGAAATAATATCACACATTTAATTTTTTAATAATAGTGCAGCTGTACTCAGTCTACATATGTAAACTTATATTTAAATACTGTTCCAGCTCTCGCAACCATTTATCAAATTATAATACAAAAAAGAATGTACAATGGTACAATATAGGGAAGAAAGAGTATTGTGCAATTGCCTAAGGGAACTACTAACCACAAATAAGTAACACCTGTATTAGCCCTAATCTATTTTTCTACTGTAAGCAAAATTTAGCCTTCAGGAGGGTATTATACAGGAAATTTCTTTATGAAAAAACTGCAGAGAACTGACAGCTTGCCAGTTCAGTTTGTGGAGACAGAATGCATCCAATTTGCCACATATTAGATATATGTTCAAACTACAAAATATTATGGAGACTAACGTTTCATCTTCAGGATCACCACCGCTTAATTTAACCTTCTTCTCATCCTGCAACACTGTGTCTGCAGTTTCTATTGTCTTCCTGCTAAGTGAATCTTGCACTACTGTCAACTCTTCCCTGTTCTGTTCTTTCTCATGAAGGCCATTCTCAGGAACCTTGCATTTACCACTATTCCTCTTGCTGGAACTTTTAGCAAACATGGATGTGACAATCATCTGTTTACTGCCATTCAGTGCAGCACCCTTCTTAGATCGTGTTGAAGCTGTTAAAAAAGAAACACCTTTAACTTCTCCTTTACAGCTTTAGGAAAGTGCAGGAATATAAAGAGTTAATGCAAGTCAGGTTTGCATGCATGAAGTTGATGGTTATGGGCTGGACACAGAAACGAAGCGTGTTTAATTGTGTAAAGAGGGAGATCTGTGTCCTGTTGGGAATCATCTGACCCACAATCAGCCACTATAATTACTGAGCTATACCAACTCATGCAGAGATCCTTCCTATTCTGTCCAGCAAATTAACTGAACAGGAATACTATGTTTATTTTCGTACACAGATCAGAATAGTCAGAAGATGGCTAAACACAAATTATACTTACTTGAGGACGCACTGAAACTATTTTCAACATTTTGAGCAGGAATTTTCTTTGATCCCAGTGGGGTGCGTGACTGTGTATTGGAATCAGACAGAACTGAATGCATAGACCTGGTCAACATTTTTAGATCAACATCCTTCTGTTTCCCCTCCTTCACATCTTTGTCACTGTTAAAACTTCTATTGGTAGAGTCTTCCTCACACAGTCCATTATCTTGTTCTGATTCATCAGAATTCATTGTATCACTCACTTTACTGTTCATTTTACCATTTCCTATTTTACTGAGTTCTCCTTCAGACTCGTCATTCTTAGCTGCTTGTACACATTTATCACCAGTTTTTTCTTCTTCTAGCTCAGTTAAGCAAAATCGATATTCCAGACACTTCATCATTTGATTGCAATATTGAGTCTAGTAGGAAGAAAAACAACAATTTTATGTCACATTAAACTGAAAAACTATCAGGATGACAATCAAAGATTTAAACTAGTACTCCCTCAAAATTCCAAATCTTGCATTCTCATCATGAGGGTAAAGTCTTGGAAGGTAAAACAGGTTCTATTTCACAAGTAAAGATGGAAGGCACCATGCTATGGGCCAAATGGTACTGGGAAGCAAAAGATAAATCACTGATAATGATTCCTTCAGGGCACTGAGGCCAAACCACATCATAACCAGCCTTCCATCTTTAAGCAGACCACAGGGTGTAGAATGGTAATAATAGCATACCCACTGAAGATGAAGTTAAAAGCTGGACCCCATTAGAAACCAAGGGACTTTACTGGACCTGGGATATATCAAGAGTCCATGGTCAGCTTTTGAGTGCCCACCATCTAGAAAGGATCCCAATAACTTACTTAAAGATGAAAATGCAAAATTCATTCAAGTAGTTCTTGAGAAGAGTAGACGAAACTACCATTGAAGAACCATTAGGTTTACTTTGCATCTTCAATTTGCTCAGTTGCACACTGGTCTACGTATGTACAGACTAGCAGAAATTATACAACTTTTTCTAAGACAGTTTGTGCCTTATAAAAGGGGGGGGGAAGAACATTCTTCTTACAACTTTCAGTGTCTGCTCTACAAAATTTTGCAGGAATATATCCATTGGGACTACAATCTTCACAAGCAAGCATGCAAAAATGTATCAGTTCTGAGGGGGCCAGGTTGTAACCTACAGTGATTTAACACAGCTGAGTCAGAACTGCTCATTTCACAAGTCAAATGCAGTAGCAGTAGTAATATAAGGTTCAGGATTTATGACTGAGACATCATGCATCCTTGCTTCATGGTAGTTCTTCAATGATCTGCTAGGATAATATTGAAATTAAATTGTAATGTGTATATGCTAGTGGTTGTTGCAACAACACAAGTCTATATGCACATGAACAGATCTGATGTAAGTAGCGCACAGAACTCCTGCATGAAGATATAAATGTGCAGGCTAACAAATAACCTCTCTGGAGAAGAAATAGAAGCAATGATTCCAAATCCCACCCCCAAACTATGGCTGCAAAATCATGCCAGTAAAGATAATAGAGGCACATGTTCTTATAAGCAAATAGGACCTGCAATAAGACATATTTCTGCAAGTTTAGTGGACTACAATTTCTTCTGAAGATACTGTATTTGTTTTCTCACCAAAGTTGGGGTGTGTGGTTCCAAAGCTTTCCACTTCTGCTTGCAATAATCCTTCACTGTGACTTCTCCATTAAATAACCTACCTTCCAGGTTCTCTGGCCTAATCAAAAGAAAAGACAAATAATGTTCATTACATTGATGTAACTTTAAATTTCCAGCACAGCTGCTGTAAAAGTAAATAACTATTTATAATCATGAACTTCTTATTCTGTTTTATGACATACACAAGGCAATGGCCTAATACTGATTGAGGTATCTAACATACCAGATAAATTTCATGAATGTCTCAAGGCTTTATAATATGCCAATACTCCAGCTGTGTCAGTTACTTTTTTTTTTATGATAGTTTACAGCGGTTATAAATACAAACCACTCCATCCAATGTGACATATAAGTTTTTACTATGTTAAAACTTATCTCCCTTACATGTTTCGGTCCTTACGGGTCATCTTCAGAGGGAACATCATTACAAACTGGAAACTACCATCACAATAGGTGCTTTGATTTAAAATACATACACTTATATCCTATAATGCACAGTACGCTTAAAGTTGAACGTTTCACAATCACAGCAGATTCCTGGTGTTGTAAAGATTTTAAAAGTTTTGTGGGGTTTTATGTAGTTTTGTCATTACTTCAATGAGAACCCATTTCTTCGGAATAGTTTGTTGGTCCTGAAAAGGACCGTGGTTGCTGAGATGCTTGACCGGTGAGGTAGCGCGGCGCGCACCGGTAGGGAGAGAGGTTAGTTGTGGTGATTTGACTGGCCACAGCACGGCCGCTGCTGGAGGTTGCTTGATCGCCATGCGGCAGGTGAGTTGGAGTTGCGTGGCTAGCGCAGTGCGGTCGTAGGAGTGATGAAGCAGTGGCTACGCCAGATGCCCAGTGGGTCGGACAGGGACACAACCACCAGCGAGTCCAGGCAAGGTGCCCCAGTGAGTCGGGTGTGAGAGAGCCGGAGGGCCGAGGCAGTCGTGCCTGGCACAGCCTGCCGATGCCTCCGAAGACCGAGCGCTGGCGACGAAGCCTGCTGGCTGATGTTGCTTGGTGTGGATTGATCGTAGACTGATGATCGACTGATGCTGCCGGGTTGCCGCTGCTCCTTTTTATACACTGCTCGGTGGGCGGAGCGAAACTTGAAATTGAGGAGGAAGAATTTTCAGGGTGCTGATTGGCTAGCGCGCGTGATGCTGTAGATGGGTGCTAGCAGCAAGCGCAGTATAAATGCGAACGTTTGGAGCAATTTGATTGGTTAGCGTGCGTGATGGTGAAAAGTGATGTGAAGAGTGTGCGTTGCAGAAAATGCGTGATAATGTGGGATGTTCCCACAGTTTCTAGATATTATTTAAAAAACCTTTATTGTCAATAATTAAAATTTTTTTAAACCACGCAGGTTTGTGTCCGTACTCCTATCGTCCTTCTTGTATGGGGCAGATTTTGTGCCGCCTGTCTATCTTGATGNGTATGTATTTTAATTCAAAACACCTATTGTGATTGTAGTTTCCAGTTTGTAAAGATGTTCCCTCTGAAGATGGCCCGTTAGGACCGAAACATGTAAGGGAGATAAGTTTTAACGTAGTAAAAACTTATATGTCACATTGGACGGAGAGGTTTGTATTTATAATTGTTAGTGTGACGGACCAGAATGAAACAAATCAAATTTACAGTGGTTGTTCAAAATAACTTAATAGATGGCACAAATATAAACAAATTAATAATATACCATATCAGCCTCTGCAGCTTTGCCAGATCTCATGTGGTACACCTTGTTTCTACCATTCAATTTCTCTGCACGGTTTGCGAATGCACAATACATGACTGTACAACCTTAATTTTACTTACATAAACCAAAGTCTGCCACAGTTTAATATGTATTTGCAAATTACAGTACCCTAATAATGATAAACAATGAATAATTTCAATTGCTAATTTACTGATTTGATTTATATTAATGATCTTCCTTTAGTACTAAATAAGATTTCTACCCCTATTCTTCTTGCTGATGACACTAGTGTAATTATTATTGAACTTAATCCCTTGGTTTACCAAGACAGATTAACTGAAGTTTTTAAAATTTTAAATACATGGTTTAATGCCAATTTATTATCTTTCAACTTTTCCAAAACAGATTATATTAAATTCACAACAAAAAATTCCTATGTGCAGGACAACTATATTAGTAGTGCATATGGCAACAAGAATAATTCTAATTCATGTTATATAAAGTTTTTAGAAATTAATATCATAAAAACACTATCATGGAAGAAACATGTTGATCAACTTCTTCCGAAACTTAATAGTGCCTGTTATGCGATTAGAACTGTTAAGCAATATGTGAATCTGGAAACATTGTTGATGGTCTATTATGCTTATTTCCATTCTGTTATGCATTACAGTATTACTTTCTGGAGAAATTCTTCATATGCTGTTAATATTCTTCGTGTGCAGAAGAGGGCACTTAGAATAAGGACAGGTATTAGTAATAGAAACACTTATAGTTACTTAAAACATTAAGAATTCTCCCTCTTCAAGCTCAGTATATTTATTCTTTATTGTATTTTATGGTTGATAACACGGGCTCATACCAATTTATATCAGAAATACAAGACAGGGTTACGATCTTAATCTTAATCTTCATCAACCCTCAGCTCATCTATTTTTATATCACAAGGGAACTTACTATATGCACATCAAGACATTTAATAATCTTCCTTTATACTTAAGGCAATTACACAATAATTGTAAGTGTTCTAAATCGGCTTTAAAGGAATTTTTGTGTTGCCATTCATTTTATACATTGGAAGAATATCTTGATTTTGAATACGATAAAAATAAATGTATAATTTCTTTGTAATAAGTGATTAATCATACATAATTTTCAATACTGGGTTCTTAGTATTGTCTTTGTGCCCATAAATGTTATGATATTGTATACTGTTGGTTGACTACATGTACGTTTGTATTGTTTTTCCTTTCTATTGGTTATGACAATTCCCACATCCTTATACTTTGTAAGGATCTATGGAAATAAATGTATATGTATATAATAGATAGCAATTACTTCTCATTCACTGCTTGAAGTCTGGTTGCTTTACACTCAGGACAATCATTTTCACAAAGCTACAATATGTAAACTTATTTTAAAAACATTCACACAACTTCACGCACTTCCAATCGTAAACTGTGGAAAGGCGCAAATAATTCCCGCGCTTACGTACCGACAATTTCAACTTCAGATCGCATTGCTGTAGTCATGCTGTAGTCACGGTCGGTCACCGGTCGGTCACGGTCGTATCAGATACCAAGTAGTCCTGGGCTGGGCAGAAGTTGATCCGTGGCTGTTGCGAACAGTGATTCTTGTCGGTTCTTGCTACGAAGCTACTAAAGTCGTTCACACGGGGCAGCAACTCAATGCTATTGGCGGGCAACATAGCCAGCGTGACGTCGTGAAGCATAACTGCTGCCGCGGTGGCCAGCGTCGTGGACGTTCAATGCACGTTAACTATCACGTTGCAAACTCGAAACACGCCCTCTTCATTGATGCCAACAGGGAATATTATGGGGAATGTATTTGCCTAAGGGATTTTAGATTTCCACGCAGGTGAAGTTTATTATTCTGGTTTTGTAGGTCATTGCCTGTGGTCCGGAAAGTTGTAGTTCCGTAACCTGTGTTGGTTCCTATTCGACTCGTGTGGTTTTGAAATGTTTAAGAAAAAACATAATATTCCACCGAGACCAAAGCCACCAGTTACGGAACAAATATTAGATGATATAAACAATGCTCCAGAAGACGATGTTGTCTTTATGGTCATGACTTCTACATCAGGTATTACGGGGAAAGCTATGACAGTATTAGCAGTTTATGTATGGATGTAACAGTAAAATGTACCAGTAAATTGTGACCAGTTATAGAAGGTTGTTTGTGTGATAGTCGGTATTACATTAGTATAGCCCCATTAACATTAATCAGTCATCATATAGGTGGTTCATGCAAAATTGCGTTACGTTTGGACCATATATCCTCCCAAATATTGGGTTTGATGGTACGGGAAGGTAAAGTCCCTACGCATAGTAAGTACCACGCGAAGAAATATGAGGGAGTGGAAAAACATCTCCATGCTTTAACCTGTGCACTAAATGTAGATGAACGATCAACTGCATACCGCTCCTGCTTTTCCACCGGTAAATAGCACTGAGTACCAACTGGAGAAGGGGCTAGGTGGGCCCCAGAGTGCTTTGTGCAAGGAGGGAAGTTGCATGTGACATTTGGTTTGATAGCGTCTTTTAATTAATGAGTAAAATACAGGCGTCTGTATGAAAAGGACATAAATTAGTCATCACTGGTACTACAATTTTAGCGATTAACTTCAATTTTTAATCAAATATGTTAAAATTTCATTTCAGATTCCTCAAAAAACTGCTCTGCTGCAGTCAGTGACACCCCTTCTTCACAAATTGTAATTGAGAACATTAGTAACCCAGAAGCTGTGTACCAGAAAGTCCAAAGTTTCTTAGAAGTGAATAGTAACTTGCAAACTGTGATGCAAAAATTGCAAGCACAGAAGAAGTCTCTTGTGACAAGTGATTCTGAATTAAAGAAAATGGCAGAAGATATAAGGAGGCAAGCAACTGATGCTTTAAAATAACTGCAAGAAATGTACTGGAACTCACTTAATATTTAACAGCACAGCCATGTGTTAGAGATTTGCTTTAAAGAGAGAGACAACATTTCTGAGGTAATATAAGTCCAGTGAACATCTAGACCTCCAGTTTTGAACTGGGAGTATGGTCAAAATGACTATTTTTACAGCTTTTTCTGCACATGGAATGGATAGTCTCTTTAAAATTAAAATGACTATTTATTTGTGTTTATAGTGAATGATAATGAGATAAAATTAAGTTGCCACTGCAAAATGTGTAGAAAGGCTGATCTAAACTATGGAGATTTAATTTTAATTTCTATATAGTATGATCATTTTGGAGGATAAGCTTTTAAGTTTGGTATTACTTGTATAATATTTTTAATAATGTTCCAATTTGGTGCAAAACCAGAGTGTCACAACTTCCATTTATGATGTTGTATTTTAGCGTCCTGTTGCACTGATTCATGTCCATGATGTGTATGTATTGACTGTCTTCTAGTGCACACAGTCTCTCTTGTCACTTCACTACATGTTTCAGCATCATTGTGCCATCCTCAGGTGTGTTATTTACGTTAAACTATTGCACTGCTCACCATCATGTGTCATTTATAAAATGATTTAAAATGTATATTCGTCATGTACTATAATAAAATTTATATATTAAAATTCTGTCAAGATTTATCATCTTATACGTCGTATTTCAAACTCGCATATTATATCAATTTTCCGCTATGGGAATCATTCTTCCTATATTTTGTGTATACCTGCAACGTGAAAATGTTACTTATTAATGTTACATTTTGACTTCTGTTATGTGTTGTTTTGTAATGTTCAGTACTCGCTGCGTCCTGTGATGTGTCCTTCTCTTGTGGTTGCGTGCGTTGTATTGCTGGATGTGTGTGTGTCTTCGGATTGATAGAGTTATGATGATGTGGAGGTAAGTGGTGGAGCTGTGTTATGTTGTTCCATTTATGAACTGGCTATCTCTTTCTTATATATAGTATGTTGAACTTAGTTAAGGCAGAAGCCTTCCCAGTCAAGAACGCTTTCCACTTTAGCACAGTTTACTACCTTATTCAGCCTTCAAGAAATTTCACTAATAAAGAACCAAAATGTTCACTGCTTTCTTCATCAAACCCTCTGGTCACTATCTTTAGCCAGGTCAATAGATTTCATATCCTTACTCTTCAAGAGCCCTTAAAATACTGTTTTCTTACATGATATTACTTTTAAGAACTTAAAATCCTACCCAAAGGATTATGTTCTTTTGTATGAATAAGGTATCATAATGTGTACTCTTCACCGGGTATTATGATGGTGATCTAATGAAGGATGAGATGTGCAAGAAACAGGACTAAGAGAAATGCATTCAAATTTTGGTCAGCAAATCTGAAAGGAAGAGGTCACATAGGAGACTTAGGTATATATGGAAAGATAATAAGATAGTTCTTAAGGAAACAGGATGCAAGGGTGTGGACTGGATTTCACTGACTCAGTAATGGTCTCTTGTGAATACAATAATGAACTTTCAGGTTCCATAAAAATTGGGAAATTTATTACTCAGTGATAATTAGCTTCTCAAGGAATCTGCTTTATGGAGTTAGTTGAGAAAGTTGCAGGGAATGTGGAAGAGGCTTTGTTATTCCACTTCAGTCTGCATCAGTGGAAACACCTAATGAAGGTGTGTTGTACTTGAAAGAACAGTATTCATTCAGACAGATTGGACTTCAAGCACTTATTGCTATAATCTCTGTATGAAAAAATACCATATGTACAACAAAATATTACACAACATTTATTTTTCTTTGACAAAATACCAGTTTGTAATTCAGGATTGCTGATGCACAACAGAATGGAACACTGGTTCAGCACAAATTCAACCAGAAAGACAAATTACTTAACATATATATCTAGGACTTTTGTGTGTATAATATATATTCATAAAAAGGCACTATTTGTATGTATTGGTATAGTACAGCAATGCCTCGCATAGTCCAGGTAACCAGTTCTGCCAATATCCCGGACTGTTTGAAACTGGACTAATCGAGGAGCTAAATACATACAAAAAATGATAATTGGTCCAAAAAAATCATGTTTTTTGCAATTCATTTTTTATTCTCTAAAAATTGCACTACTGGTGTCTGCACATTTATCTTCTTTGACCTTTCATCTTCATACATTTCTCTCTAACAACGAATTGCATTGTTCATCGTTCGGCGAATTGTAAGGGTACGTTCAATATTGGGATCAGCTTCCATAATATGCTCTGACAAGGTTTCAATAATTCCAATAATTTTTGACAGTTGTTCAGCTCTAAGTTGTCCTCCCGTTCTTCATCTATGTTAATAAGTGTTTCATTTTCTAGTTCATTAGTGTTCGATTTGATGCACTCAATTACGTTGACAGAATCCAACTTATTGAAACCAAGTTGCTGTCCAATTTCCACCATATTAGTGACTTCAGCAAAATGAGTTTCAAAACCAATGAAATCATTTGCACAATGTGGTATATGTTTCCATACTGCCCTCATATTGCTTGCCATTAATTCATGCCATGCTTCACCTATATTTTTGATAACGTTTCTGATGATGTAGCTCTTCCAAAATTCCATTAAAGTAGTGCTCTCCCCACCTCCTCAAGCGATAGCTGTCAGAGCTGCTCAAGAACGAATGACCTGAGCGTAGGTACATATACACTGGGGAACCCCAGAAAAAATTGAAATATGTATCGTATCACATAATTTTAAAACCACATAAAAATAAACCGCACAAAAAGAGACTTGACTGCATACAGGGAAAAAACCGATCATTTATGTATTAAAAATAATTTTGTGTACTAATTTTTTAGAATTTATTTTTATTTTGCTCAATTAAAATTTAGTCTGTTTTGAAATTTTCAAACCGGAATATAGTGAATCCAGACTATGCAAGGTATTGCTGTACTTGGTTAGTACATACACACAACCTAACAGATTACAACTAGCAGGTGGTTCTAGAGCAGAAATTCTGTGACCTGGGATTGTGGTGTTATTCTAGTGTACATGTAAACACGTATTACATTTGTAAATAAATGTAAAAATTTAACAAACAGTTTAAAAGTGATTCAGTTATATCCACTTATTTTTAAAATCAATATCAGTTCCAGTCACCACAATAAGCCATAGACAGAAATACTAATATGAGTTTTACAAAAATTAACTAAATAACCATGTGCGATTTAAGGTTTCAACAGAAGTGTATACCAATATCACAGTTTCTGAGATGTAATGCTCTGTAGTATAGTAGATAGGTACCAGTGTTTCTTAGGAATCTGCCATCTCCATCTTCATGGTGGACAATGAAGCAGCAGGTTCCTCCCATACATTAGCACCGACCTTCCAAACTACATGTTTCAAATTCCAGGGGACTGTAATCTTGTAACTAACCAGTTCTTGGAGTGAAGTATAATAGCATCATGTTTCTTGTTCACTGGACCAAAAATTATCCCATTCTTCCTTTATGTATGTTTAATCAAGAATGACAGATGGCAGTGTACTCTTCGAGTTCTTTACAACCTACTCCCACTTGTCTTACACTTTCAACATTATGTAGATTGACAAGACTGATTGCACTTCATAATGCCTGAGTGTGCTATGACAGAACTGTTGTTGATTGTGATGGTTATCATAATCATTAATGGTGGTAGTAACAAAGCTTTTTATAAGAATTTACAACTTGGTATAGAGTTGTCTATATAGGTTGGATAACACTGTTCCAAACATTTTAAAACTGGAGATTGACAATTAGAAAAGTATCAATTGACATTCATTTATATAAACCACCAATCCCATTTTATATTGTAGTAAATTCCAGAATATCTTTAAAGTTGATGGTGTCACAGACTAATTTGGTATGGGGTTAGCATCAAAACAGATAATAACTTTAGTAGTTTACATTCATCACAGACAAGTTCAGGGTTTTTACTGTGTGGCTGTTAATCACTGCATTACTCTGAGGAAAAAATAAGAGAATACTATCAATACAAGTGTAAATTGGAACTGCAGAAGAATACTCTGCTCCACATTATCATAGTATCACAGCACAGTACATTGCTACACTATCATAAGAAATTATCCCTTTCCTCCCAGATGGCATTGGCAGTCATCCAGCTATTGCTACTTAATATGGTATCTATTTTATCTGTCATTTTTGTTCATTGCTACTGGAATGTGGTAACTGCAATGAAAACTTCATTTACAGACATGCATGTCCTTGTTTCACTTCTGGTTGCTGTACTGTGAAAGAAACCGATATCAGAGCATATCATAAGTAAGATGAGGTTGTATATTTTGATAACATTATAGATCTGGCAAGGGCATTTGTGGAGACTTTCTTTTTGCAGGGATTACTAGCAACCAATGATGTGATCTGAATTATTTACATAAGATTGTACAAAATTTAACCCCCCCCCCCCAAAAAAGTCATTCATTTAGAATGACAAAATCACTTAAATACTTTCCATAGAAAACTACAATAAATGATATTACAGACCCCAAGATTCATTACTATCATCACAAAAGCCATTATTTAATCTAAGTGTATGGCAGATGAGTTCAGCTTTATGACAACCAATGCTGCCTCAGTTCACCCGTTAAATAAAAATTCTATTCACCAAACATTTCTCCACAAGGGAAACCATGCCTACCCATGGCACCATAGTTGCTCTGCACCAGCCTACTTAGGCTTACCACCACATAACATACAATCCATTTAAAACATTGTCCATTGTATTTTATACTGTGTATACTATACATCTATGGAGAAATGGGGGAGGACATGAGGAGTGAATATTAAGGAATAAATTCAAAGATTCTCTCATCTGTCCTCGATTCCTCATTTGTCACAGACAAGCAGATTGTGATGTCCAAACCTTAGAAAAGCTACTCTTTGATGTTAATTTTGCATCTTAAAATAAATAATAACATTGACACAATCCAGAACTAAATTAGAAAATTCTTGTATATGCATGTACATGAGTTTAATGCAGTTTGTTATATGCAAAATGGAAGTTTTGTCAAAATACAGCAACTGTATTTTACTTACAGCTTGTCTTAAAATAAGCATTTTTCTGTGAACAGTCTTACATTCTATCCATAAATTATACAATATGATTCTAAATTATTGCCGAGGTTTTCACGGCCTATAATTTTCGAACCAGAAACACCAAAATAAAACTGCTGAAGGAATGCTTGTTTAGCATCCTGCAGTATTGATTCTAAAGGTAATAAAACTTTTTAACTTACACTTTCATATTCCTTAAGCAGAATTAGTTTTTCCAGTTTTAAATTTATAGGCCATGGAAACCCAGACAATAATTTAGAATCACCCTGTATTTCTGTAAATACTGTAAAATGCGACAACTTCCCAATCCTCCTGGTAAGAAACAAATCCTGTTAAAACTAGCCAGTTACTTCACAGAGCTATAAAGCTCATACAAATACAAAAGTGTGGGCCACATGAAATACTAC